CGCCAATGACGAAATCCGTAAGCGCTGTTACGGTCTTCTGAAGTTCTCAGCGCTCATCCAACGCCGCAGATCAGTGGTTCGGTCACGTCCTCCGCAGACCAGACACTGACTTCACTAAGGCCATGGTTTCACCCTCGCCTTGCCAAGGTTGGTGGCGTCGCCTTGGTGGACAATTGAAAACGTGGCTCCCTGCAGTGAAATCGGATGTCCATCTTCTGGGACTCCATGTTGTGCATGGTGCTCGTCACTGGAGGAATCATTGGATTAGTATCTGCGTAAAACTTGCCACCCGACCATCGTGTTTGGGCAGCTGCAATCCGCGACATTAATGAAGCCGGCTGATTCTTTCGCAGTAGCTAGCCGCAGTAAAGTAAGTAATGTCTATTTTCTTTCCCTAAATATCTACCAACTGTAATTTTCTTTTTATGGATGCCTACTGTTACGAACACAGCGCACTATCGCGTAATGCTGACAGCCGAAGTATGTGTCTGATTGCTGGGGCAATGATCACGCGAGTAAGTCGCTTCTGTTTCTTTGAAGCTTACTTAAGTGGAACATTCGGGCTTTATTCCGGAAGGATAGACAATGCCGACTTCTTATTGCGACCAGGTACCTGGACTCGGTTGTTTGTGAGTGCTCTAGCTCCCGATGAGATGAAGTTTCTTGTGCCACATGGCGTCCTCTGGTAAGTGTTCAGCGGCGAACCCATATGGATCACATTGTCGGTGGCAGCATTGCATCTTGGACTTCCGCTGATTTGGGGAAATCTACGTCTGATCTGGCTATGTCCTGGTCCGCTGTACTTTTCACTCGCTTTTGTCAGTAAGCACAGTAATGGATACTCCTCATCATGCACAAGCGAGTTGTTCCAACCCATGGTCAAATGAACCTGTCAGGTTGTACTAGGAGTATTCAATTTTGCTGGAATTCGATTCCTGAGATTTGGATTCCGACACCACGGCCCGTCACAGCCTGATACCTTGGATGACAAAATGATCGATAGGCTTGGCAGTAGAAATTTTAGCGGATTGGCAGCGACTACCTTCACTTCTCCAGAGACCACCGGTCTCATGAAGTGCGTGTGAAGTTAGGTGTAGCTTTGGTACTCTCACTTACGGTACGCGACAACATCTTTTCGTATGGCGAGTCGTTTTCAGCACCCGTTCAATTGTAACCCCACCTTCGAGTCAGCTCGCTCTCAGGTGGCGCAGGTTGAATGGTGGACCTTTGATGTTGGAACTCCATCAGGATCAATTTTAAAGGGAATGGCTTCATTCTTCATCACTTTACCGGCCCGAACTATGCCATGTACACTCTATTCAAAAATTGTGGTGTGATTCTCTGATAGGAATTGGATTATCTGTGGAACAGACACAGAATGAATTAATTATTTCTACTAACTGGGCAGAATTGTTCAATATCGTACTGTTTGTGCTGAAACAAGATATCAGGTTACTATGGTTGATCTAAAAGTTAACTGCATCTTTTTTAGTCCACTATACTGTGGGATGACGGGAGCGGATAGGCTGAAGTCCATACTGCCCAACCTGTACTTCGCAATCAGTGCGTATGGATTGTCTGCCTCACATCCGTTTGACGCTCAGTCGTTCGTGTGATGTGGTCGATTATGTGTGTGGATCTTGAAGGGGATTTACATGTGAGAAGATCATGCAGACTTAGTTGGAGAGTATCAGACTTCCCACAATATGAGCAGTTTGTATGTTTTTACTCCGAAAAGACAGCTGTGAAAACAGAGTGACCTAACTGGAATCTGGACGGAGTTTCATCAGTCATCACCTCTTACCGACCACGGGCGGATTTCATTGGCACACTTCGCCCTATGTTCCTGGTCTTAACGCTGATCTTTTGGTCACGCTCACCGCAACGTCTCAGTTGAACGCTTTATAGAGCTATTTCGCTCGGGGAATTCTCGGCTAACCTACTATATATTCCTGTCCTATATTATTATTTAAACGGCGGCGATTTGGGCGTAATGTTTCATTGGAGTGTGTTCTCTCGGTTCTCTTTTACGCCAACTGATGAGAACAGACGAGCTGTTTCACTGAGAGTAAACAGTACATAGCCTCTACAAACGTGGCACTATCAATTGTCACCGCACCAGTCACTGGATATCTGAGAGGTCGGTGAACCTGTTGAAATCCAGAAGAAACCTCCCGGCTGGCTCTGAACACAATGTGACCAGACGGGCTATTAGGCGCGAACTAAAGCGGAGCCTACGTGCTGCAAGGAAGCCTGGTGGAGCAGTGGGACTCAAGAAATGTAGGAGGCAGGAACAATAGGCAATTACCACAAGCTCTTCTAGCTGATACGCACCACTGGTCCCAGGAAACTAGGCGTCAGTAAAACAATCAGAGACAGCGCGGGTACTGATGCACAATAAGGAGCGCCTTATGGCTCGTTGGGCGGAACATTTTCAAGATCAGTTCAGCTGGCCCCCTACTCCCGGACCTCTTTCTACTCAGATGATGCAGGACGAGCCATGGACGGTTAGTTTAGAGCCTCCGTCGGGCGCCGAGGTCCGAAACACAATCACAACCCTCAATCGTCTTCGTGCCGCTGGCCCGGATTCCCTCCCACCTGCACTATTTAAGAATGGAGGTGAGGTCCTCTGCAAAGCACTGGTCTCCCTATTCGAACGTATCTGCAATGAAGTGTCCCGGCTAACTGGAGCGTATCGATTATAGTGGCAATATACAAGAAGGGCAGTCGTACAGACTGTTCTAACCACAGGGGTATTAGCCTAACGCCAGATGCGACCAAAGTACTGGCCTCGATTCTCGTTCGTCGCCTCACTGTGGAGCGGAAATTTTGGATTAGGAAAGAGCAGGCAGGTTTCCACCCTGGACGTGTCTGTATAGACCATATATTTACTCTGCGGCTGGTGCTAGAGCACTACCACACGTACCGCAGGCCGACAATAGTTGTGTTCCTCGATTTAAAGTGTGCATTGGATTCAGTCGATCGATCCATCCTGTTCAAGATACTTGCGCGGAAAGGTGTTCCCACCAAATATGTGAACATCCTACGTGTTCTATACTCGAACACTACAGGCCGCCTCAGGGTCTACGGTGGCTTATCGGATAGCTTTTCGACTACAAGTGGCGTTCGTCAGAGCTGTTCGATTTCCCCATTTCTGTTCAACTTCGTTGTGGACTTTATCATGGAGTGTTCTCTTGCGGAATCCAACGATGTAGGCGTTGAAGTGCTGCTTGGTGAAAGGTTAGTTGGTCTTGATTATGCGGACGATATCATCTTGCTTTTCGACGATGTTGCTGCGGCACAATCAACCCTGAATAGCCTGTCTAGCGTGGTCCTATTATTTGGTATGCACTTCCCACCTTCAAGGTGCAGTGTTGCTGCAGAACCATCAGCCACTTTATGACCCTTGCTAACGAGGAACTTGCGGTGGTTGATCGATTTACTTACCTTGGCAGCCGCATCAGCAACGATGGGCGCATAGCAACTGACGTCAGCTCACGTATTGCAAAGGCCAGAACTGCATTCTTGAACCTGCAACATCTTTGATGGCAGAAGGGCGTTTCCCTCTGTCTGAAAGGCCGTGTATATGAGGGCCGTCTTGCTCTATCATACTAAAAGTTGGCCCCTTCGATCTGAAGATCTGAGGTGCCTTCAAGTCTCTGATCATCGTTGTCTGCGAAGCGTTGCTGGTGTCGGATGGCGCCAGCGTGTCCGCATCGATGATGTACGTAGGCGAGTACTAGGTAGTAATAATTATGCAAGATCCCTAGAACAACAGATAGCACTGAATAAGTTGCGTTGGCTCGGGCACGTGCTACGTATGACTGGTCACCGCTTACCTAGAAGAGCCTTGTTTAGTCTGCCAGATGTAGGATGGCGCAAGGCTCGAGGTGGACAGAAGTTGACTTGTCAGTGGGAAATGAAGTCACTGACAACCAAACTAGGTGCGATTGGTCCGTCTCGTCTTCCTGGCTGGAGTCCACGTGACTCGCCTTGGGCTTGACTCAAGACTTTACAGGACATGGCTCGCAACCGACACCAGTGGCGCGTTTGCTGCCGTCTCCTAATCGGATTGTCTGTTTAAAGTGTGTTTGGTGCTGAGTTATCTGCGGGGTAATGGCTGATTATGACGCGTGGCAGTGAAAGCCGCAAGGAAGCTGTCTCGCCGATGCCGCCTTATGTTTGCACGATGGCCAGCTGTTTGTGACGGTATGTTGTTTGCAAGGTGTAGGCGCCTTGACTCTGAGTGTTTGCTTAGAGCATTAAGGTTTTCAGGTAAGTCACCCTTCTCTCCCTTTTATTATTCTTTATTCCATAGGTCCTCATGGTTGTATGGCAGCGAAGCATCAGTTCAAATGGCTGATGTACTGCTGTTGTTGTTGCTTTGTTGTTTGTCCACCAACGTTCTTACATTTTAGGAATAAATGCTCGATAGCGGATATATTTTCGGAGCATACTGATTTTTCATATTTAAGGCTTTTTCGTTTCGCTGCGCGTATTCTTCGGCACGCGCTGATAGATAAGATTTTGACAGTGGTAAGCCGAAGCTGCATGGATAATCAGCAAATCAAGAATACTGTGATCATATTGTCCTGCGCTATTGTAACCCATTGGTTCTGTCCATCGATGTGAAAGATTGCGTTTCACACTTCGTTTTCGTCACGATGGTCTTCAGACCAAAGTCCCGTTGAGCTCTCCCTTATCAACCACAGAGCAGTTGACAATACTGTGAATTAACGGACTAGTTCGATCCGTTAGCCATGTAACTTTGTATTGCGCTTTGTTGTGTCCGGAGTAGATAGCTCGACACGGTTTGAGCTACTACGCAGTGGCGGCCGTAATGCGGGTATGTTTCACAATCATTTCCAGAGGTTCACCCACTGTTTATAGACTGCATTCGCCCATCTATGTTAATTCACTTATACTAAAGGTTGTCCAAATATATCTTATCCGGTCATCTTATGCTAATTTATGCCCACCTTATGCCTTTCACCATATAGGTGGTCAGTTATCCAGGCAACAGCCGTCGGTTTCGAGCCCGGCTTTCTCACGATGTTTTCTGCGACCAATAACCTGGGCTAACTACAGCCATGGGACTTTGATCATACTGAACAAATCGCAAGCCGATACACTTTTCGACTCGTCGAAAACCAAGCGATCTTCTGGTGTGAAAACGTTGACCTCGCCTCCTGCTTCTCAAAACTTGGACGGGACCCAGCATTATCTTCTCAAATTCCAGCAAGTCGACTGCTACTTGCTATTCATCTATTCAATGAAGTGCCCATTCTCGATCGCCGCCTTCCCTTACGTCAAAGCTCTGGCACGTGCTTATCCTCAGTTGTTCGTGTACGCTGTCCAGGTTGAAGATTACGTGATGCATCGATGGAGTCTCCGGATGTTATTTGTCCCGAAGCTGAAGCTAATTGTGGATGGGCGAATATTCCGTGAATACTCCGGATCCGATACAAACTTGGATCAAATGATTGATTTTGTGTGGCTCACTATTCGTAAGTCTTTTGCGCTCCGCATTGGCCCTTCTTTTCTCGGGGATCGCTACATGCCTCTCCCACCAGCAGCGCTGGATCGTGACGCATTGGCTTTCATTTGTCTCACATATCCCAAGACATGTATCCACCGGCTTTGATTAAACAGCATACGTTTGTTAGGGGTCCTTCACATAAACTACGGCAGTTAGCGCGTCGTTGTCAACGAGTTTTCTCGCAGTTCTACGAGCCTCTATCAAACATTTCCCCGTGTGAAGATGTTACGCGTCTGGAGCCTTCCTCGTCACCGAACTCCTTCTTTTAACAAGCGTAAAGTATTTGTTGAATATCATCACCCCTACCTTTAGTTAGGCACTAGGGTCAAATCGGTGGGATAACCCTAGTTTCAACATACCGAGGGCTGGTGTACCACGATTCACACGGGGTGGAAAGCTACCCGTTACTTCCCTGACTGTGCGTTACTCTTGCATGTGTCCTAGAGAACCATCAATTTCGGTATTAGCTCCAATTTTGCCATGCAACGATTTCACAACAGACGTAGCTTAACCGCCGCAGATCATTCAAAACTACATTAAGTTAATTATTTCCGATGTTTCAAAACGCCTGCTCAGTTCTAAGGTTAGTTTAACTACGTTGTATTCTAATCTATTCAGACGTGTTCTCTATCTCTCTTTCTCACCTCACAGGTCAGCCTCCGAAGGGCCCCATAGGTATCGTTCCCGATGACTACAAAGGGAGTCCTGGACCTCTACAGAGTTCTGCAAACTTGTTCCTGATTTTTTCATGGGTGGTCACCATCCTCAGTCTACTCTATCTTGTTTTCGCTTTTGGATCAATTTCATCAGCCAGATTGTCCGCTACTCTATATCGAATAAGCCGGGGTCGTTACGGAAGACCTATATTCTCCGACTCACAAACAATCCAAAGCTGGGATCCTGGACAAATAACCGCCACATCTTAGTAATAAACTCAGATGTCATTTGTGTTACACATGGATTTTATCACTGGAATTATCCTTGATACGTTTTTATATTTTGAATAACGTAGGTTACTGGCATGCAAGACAGTTAGATAAGCAAAGCTTCTCCGCTTTTTTGGATGCGAACATACGCAATTGCAACAACTATTCCGCTCATATTCGTCAACATTTTTTACCTTCATGCAGTACCTAGTCAGTTATGAAACTTGGTACTATTCCAATACGGATCACCAAAATTACGCGTGTTGATCATCGCTTGTAATTGTCACTTGTGCCGAACACTCAAACTGCGCGGTATCTCTGCGACATACCACCAATTCCCACAACAACTACTGACAATGGTCCACCCACGTAACTGTACCATTTAGCATGCGGATCATCAAAGAAGTTACTGCGCGAATCTGCAGGAACCATGCGGTTTTTCAAGATCTCAACCAGCTATGAAGAATATTGTGCCCTTCATGTCTTGAGCCACGTGGAATTGTCTTTTCTGATCTTATTCTTGAGTGCCCAGCAATCAGGACACTAAGCAGAGAAGTGCATTGACGAAGCGAATAGGGAAGGCCAACATACTACCACAGAGTATGGTATCATAGGTACGCTGGGTTCCAAGAGTGATTGCAGATTAATGGGACAAAAATACGCGGTTCTGCCAAAAACAATGGTCCGAATCGTGAGACCGTGTTGTTTCGATAATACACATGATTGCTTCTAGTCATTTGCGTACGTGCTTTTAGGAGATATACTTTGTTCCCATCTACCTGGTTTCGCAGCAGAACCCAAGCGCGTCCACATTGTACCAACCAGCTTCCGCTTCTCAGAAATTACGCTCCTAAGCGGACGATCCAGGTGCCATCTCACGATTCCCTCGTTCCCATTTTCCACGTGTTGCGCTGAGACGAAAACAAAAAGAGCAACAGCCGCGTAATAAGGTGGTTACCCACGTAAACGACTAGAAGCACTGTACACCAAAATGCGATCGCAAGGCATTCTTGCGTTACTTGAGTCACGTGGACGCTGCATAAAATCACCAATCAATAGCTATGGCAGACAGCCAATTGCCGGAGTACACACACGTACGCACGCACGCGGTGGGCGCTTGTCACAGCGTATCACCCCTTCCTCCTGTGCTTTGAGTTATCTGGCCTGGAATCAACCCACTAGTCGGCGTTGGCGCGTAGAGTGACGTAGAGACATTTGGTTCGGTGATTCTACACCATTTCCCGGACAAGTTGTCCTTTTCGGCAACATAAATAATCTGAGGGGGCATTCAACATGAGTCTACTCAATTAATTTGTTCCGTGCGTAGCAGATGAAGCGTCGCACCTGCACCCCTATGACTTAGTGCGTCTGAGGTCCAATTGGCTGAAGGCGACGGGCTATACACACACACCTATACACCTGCACAAGTGACTAGCGTACGCACGGAACAAAATAATTGAGTAGACTCATGTTGAATGCCCCTCAGATTATTTCTGTTGCCCAAGAGGACAACTTGGCTGGGAAATGGTATAGATCGGCCACTTGCGAATCCATCAGCTCTGGTGTCTGGACTTCTGACTCAACTATTGTTTCTGAAGTCGCCGGTCTCGGTCGCAGGTAGTCTAAGTGGCTTGTGACAATTCTGCCATCCTCAGTTTCTGCTTCAATGATTTGCCCGTTGGCTGTTTTAACAATGGCCGGTTGCTACCCGCAATCTGTACTTAGACGGACATAGATGGGATCAGATTCTTCTACGAACCTGTCCCTGCTGCCGGTGTCCGAGCGTAGCTTTACGCATTTTTGTTTTCCGCAAACCTCGAAACCAAGGGTACCGTGCAGTAAATACAACCGTCACCATCATTATAATAAGTTGTCCCCAAATCAATCGAATGTTTTTGCATTCCATTTCGGATTTTTCTGGAAAATTCTTTTATATGGGTATATACGGGGACACACTGGAGCGATAGTCTAACGTCCGTTTACATTTTAACAATGACTGCGATATTGGCTACTGTTCAACATGCTGTTCGCGGATGCTTAATGTACGAGTAGCTACAAGGGCGCAAAGCAATCGAGGTTTGTGGAAACATGCCTGGCGTACTAGACACGGATGCTCTGCGTTACGGTATAGTGGCATTTTGGTTCCACAGATTCAAAGTAGGCAACTATGATTTGTCCAACGTCGGAGGTCACCAGCGTAAGCCGGTGGACATTGACAGCAGCATCCAGGACGCTCTAAGGGAGGATCCGAGTCAAAGTGTGCGTGAAGTATCGTCACACCTTGGCCTTTCAATACCACCGTTCGTCACCATCTGTGTCAATCCGGAATGCTCCCAAAGATCGGACAACTTATACTACACAAATTGACTGATGAGCAGCTTTTGAGCCGTTGTGCCATCACACTTTCATTACTCACCCGAGGACACAATTATCGATGGCTGAACGATATCGTTACTGGAGACGAGAAGTGGCTGCTCCATGTCAACCATGGCAGGAAGCGTCAGTGGATCGTAGCAGATGAGACGTTAGTAAAAGTCCCGAAAGGTGAACTGCATGGCAAAAATTGCTGCTGTCGGTCTGGTGAGATCGCCGCGGCGTTATTTATTGGGAATTGCTACCTGACATTTCCACTGTTACTGTCAATGTCTACTGTCAACAACCGCAAAAGATGGTCGACGAACACCGAAAAAAGCGTCCAAAAGCGACCCGAATCATTCTCCTGCCTGACAACGCACGTCATCGTGTGGTAAAGATGATGCGTTTCAAAGTTCAGCAGCTCGGTATCGAACTCTTATACATCCGGACCTTGCTCCTACTGATTACCACCTTTTCCCCTCGCTGTAGAATCACATCAAGGACAAGAGATTCCATGACCGCAAGCATATCGAAACATACCTTGCTCAATACAGCCAGCCCAGCTCTTTATTCAAGAGAGGCATCTAAAACTTGCGTGAGTGTTTACAGTACGTCATCCATAACAATGGATGTTACTTTGATTAAATATTATTGCTTGTTTGAAATAAATATTGACTGAAAACCTGTGCTAAAAAATTCGATTGATTTCGGGACAACCCTTAGCTGCAGGTGGAGAAAAATCTTAGCTATTGTGCTGCAATACAAAAGACAAGAAGAAAAGCAACAACAGAAGTACGCTGGCTGTGTCCCCAGTAATGCATGGGCATCGTTCCAGAGAGCTAACAGACGGCTATCGTGTCGCAAAAAGCGAGTTACTATACCTAACGAATGAGATCGTGACTGGAGGGGGGCGGCTAAGTAGGAGGGGATGGACAAAGGAACTCACAACACAAACGCCACTGGGGCCGTCTCCTAACCATATCAGCATGTGTGTCCAACCAAACGTGTTCATCGTCCTTAGGATTCCAGCAGGCAGTCGGGATGCACCAACTGACGCCAACTTCGACATGATGGTTTTCATTTTTTCTCGACCATGTTATCGGTTGGCTTCCCCTCCTCCTCTTCCAACCGCACCCCCGGCGCGCAAACAGTGCACGTCGCGGGAGTCCGTTTGCTGGCATGCGCAACATGTGGCCAAGTCGCCGAAGCCTTATGCGTGATATAATACCGCTGAGTGGTTCTCTAGCTCTTCCTGCACTAACTATGCGACGCCGAACAAGCTCATTGCTCACGGGGTGCTCCCACCAGTCATGAGCTAACCTGTGGAGTCAGCGATGATCGAACGTATCTAGCTTCTTCATATCTGTCGACCTAATGGACCAGGTTTCACAACCGTATAAGAGGGTTGAACGGACGGCTGCATTATAAACTCTGCCCTTCAGGGCGAGAATGATGTCGCGAAATCCAACCGTACACTCAGCCGACTGTCAAACATTAATTCCACAGGGCTTCTACCGGTGGTTTTGTTATGTTTCCATAACCGAAAAGGGCACCGTCTAAACGCACACGCATTGGGACTACCGGTTCCTTCAGTAACACATTCTTCACTTCTGCACAGCTCTCTCAGCTAAACCATTGGATGATGGATGATAAGGCGCAGTAGTTACGTGTCTAATGCCAATCGAGATAAGAGGAGCGAAAATTCGGCACTAGTGAATACTGTTATATTATCTGACGCTAGTGTTTCCGGAAAACGTCTTACGCAATTTAACTGTTGTGTTGACTGAACATGCTGTATTCCGGACGTGGGCGTCAATGATCATCTGACCTTTGAAATGGCCGAAAAAGCCTGCGTGAACATGTTTCTCTGGTGTTTCAGGCTACTTCCATGGCTGCATTGGCGCATGGGGCACGGCGTTCCGATTCTCCTGACAAATCAGACCATACATAAAAGCAGGCTAGCGGTTTCATTTTAACGACTCCAGGGTGTGCATCATGCAGTTCGTCCAGGTTAACTGATCGTAACGTTCGTGGGACTACAACGCGGGCTTCCCGCAGCACACATCCGTAATGGAAACTGAGTTCGGTCAATCTGTTACGAAAGGGCATGAGTTCCTTGGTCCTATTTTATGACCACCCGACCTGAACATAGCGTTTCACGAGTGTTAGAATAAGTCTATCTCTTTCTCGGCGTATATCTGTTGAGGTAACGGGGGAATTGTCAAGGTGCTGGATCGGATTCACGAGTTCCTGTAACATGAATTCTTTCGAAGATACTTCTGGTAAAGGAAACCGACTGAACGCATCAGCAGTGGTATTTTGTCGGCCAGGGACTATTGCGTTTGGTATGTATATGCAGAGAGAATGAAGGCCCAATGGACCCTTCTGGGTGATCCCACTTGCTGAATCCTTTTTTCATGGCTAAAAAGTGATACAAATGGCTTATGATCCCTGTAACTCACAAGAGGTCAACCGAGTAGGTGTTGATGAAACCGAATAGTACCGAAAACAACCGCGACTGCCTCTCGATCAACCTGAGAGTACGTTCTGCTGCCGTCAAGATTCGTGAAACATAAGCACCAGGTCGATGAGAGCTGTCCGGCAATTTGTGCAATAATACAGCTCTAAAACCGTAGGATGACGCATCGCAAGAAAGAACAATGGGCTTCCGTGGGTCGTGATGCACAAGAATTTCGGCGGATGCCAAAAGTTTCTTAAAAGCGTTACAAGCACTCTCCTGAACTTTGTTCCAATTCCAAGGTTGCTTTTTGCGTAAGAATTGATGAGGCGGGCGCAAATGGATCGCCGCTGATGGTATGAATCTGGAAAACTGCGTGATCGCTCTCAGGAACGACCGAAAGTCGTTCATATTTTTGGGTGCTCGAGTCTTTTCTTCTGACGGGCATAGCCCATCTCATGACAACGTACACTTGGAATAAAGAATTCACACTTTTCTTTTTTTAAACAAGCCCCGAATCTGAAAATCTGCGAAACTACATCCAAAGTGTGAAGGTGTTCATCATTGGTGTGTCTAGTGATCAAAATGTCATCAAAATAAGCGCATCTATTTGGCATGTCTCACCAATGAGTCAGTAATGAGTTGGGAGATGTCTGG